ACGGTGCAGAAAATCGACATCATTACTCACAGCTCCTCCTTCTKTTTGTTGATTGGCCTGGTTGAAATCCTAATGAAGAAATTCACGTCAGTGGAAGAAATCCCAGACAGAGCAGAGAAGGGAGATTAAAATTGAGCAGAGTTGTGTAGGAAGCCAATGGCCAGACCAGAAAAACATTTATTGCCCTGATAAAACCTGTACCATTTAGAGGTTTCTTCACTAATGTACCAAATATTTAGCTTAATCCACCTGTTTCCTTTACCTTGTTTATTCATATTTGTGTTTATTTTATTTTATTGGATAGAGTTTTACCCAGAATTCACATTCATATGAAAGCAGCAGCAAACTGTGTTTACAGTTTTCCGTAATATTTCCTGATCCTGTTTACACTTACTCCCACTGGGCTTCTCTCTGTTACAGCTTCAAACAATCTGTGACTTGACACAATGCTTTTAGTTAATTGTTCTTTTGTGCCCTTTCCCAGTTTTTATGACATGTAATAAACATGTTGAAAACAAAGAAACAAGTCCAGATTGGAGAGTCAATTAAGTGTTTCATTTGTCCGTTGTGGTTTAGGCCGAAGATGTGATTAATGATTCATTTTTGACCACTCACTTCAACATGAAGATGCTATAAAAAACCATTTGTTTATAAACTCACATTGAGACTTACAATGTCTTAACATACAGTGTCTTCTTGAGCCGTTAGTAATTTCCATCATCTGTTTCTGTATTGCCTCCCCTAAAAAATATTAATAAGGTTCATGGATTGAATAATTGATGATATCAGGTGGGGATTGCATCATTGCTTCACACTAAAAATTTAGTGTTTTGTAATGTTCTCATGCGTCTGTCTTAGTCCTTTTCTGTATCCCACCCACAGTCAAAAGACAGACATGTTGGACTAATTAGTGATTTTGAAATGTTTGGTTTATTTCTCTCTCTGCCATTGGCTGTAAAGCCCACCTGGCTTTAGCCACCTGCAACCCTAAACAGAAATGAAGAAACAAGTCATGATGTAACTTTTTTGTTTTTTTAATTATACTTTTATATTTCGCTAATAAAAGTAGTTCTGAGTTCTAAAATGTATTTCTTAAAACTTTTTTTACTTTCCCCCGCCAGTGTTCTTTTAAAACGTGTTATTACTCTAATTTTTTATTACATTCTCAAAACATTATTACTTAATTTCATGATGAAGTAGTAATATCTTGTACTTTCAATGATTTAGTACAGGTTTTGATGAAATATTCAACTTAATTATATTGTATTCTGTTCTGATTTATATTTTAGGAATCATCCTAACCTTTTAGGAGTCAGTGATGTTTACTCCTCATTTTCTGCAAAAGCTCATGAAAAAAGTTAAACACATGTTTTTGTAATTTTGCTCTAATTAGAAAATTGATGCTACATTTGGATGACTGATTATTTTCCCTCCTTAGCAAAAGTTTAAGAGATTCTCCTAATACAGAATGGATGTATACACATAATGCTGGTTTATAGGCTGTTTGATAAAAAAGTTTGTTCTTGTTGTGAAGTCAGGCTGTAGTTTGATCCTACAGCCTGGTCAGTGTTGCAGTTTGACAAGCTAACACCGTTTTTAGTTTGTTGTTATGAAAAGTTAAACCGCTGTCCTCCTGGTACTCAAACAACATAAATCCAAACTGAAACAGAGAGAAACAAATCAAATCGTAAAATTGATTACAATACAATAAATTGTTATTGGCACCTTGGATCTAGCAGCAGTATTAAAAGAATGTGTGCATGGTACTGTGTTGACCACTAAAACCATTTGGGTTAGTCTGTCACACAAGATCCTACTCTGTTTTTGGTCTTCTTACCRTAAACTATGCAGCCGCAATCTAAACCTTTTGTTGCAGCCGGGCAGACAGGCAGCTTCTGGTTGCTGGTAAAGGTAAAAGGTTCCCTGAGCTTTTGGGTTTTGACAAACCACATCAAACAGGAGGAGGGAACAAGCTGTTTGAACAGGTGGACCAGCCTTTAGCGGGCACAGACAGATCTTATTTTATATGGATCACAGCTCAGAAATGTCAGCTGTGGAGCAGCAAGATGGAACATTTTGGACCTGACAGATCAGTGCTGTGCTGCAGTGAGTAATGGACATACAGTGTGAGAGCATTATGCACCGAGAGAAAGAGAGAAAAAGAAAAAACAACCTTGAAGTTGAGGAGATGAAGAACCCTTTTTGACCAAACGAGGAATCTGAGGGGACAGATAAGTGCTTCAACAACATGCAGCATAAAAAAATGAGAAGCGTTGCCAAAAGCGATTTAAATATGACATAAATAAACACACACTCATAGAGAAAGTGCCACTGCTTAACATCAAGCTAAACGTCTGAGTGCATAAACAGCCTCTCAGTTCTGCTGCAAAGCAACGAGAAAACATTCATCAGASGGAACACAGTTACAGAGAAAAATGTAAAAATGTCTGATTGAAAATATAGATTATTTTTCATTTTTACAACATTCAAAACTGAAATAAATTACAGATATTCCACCATCTTTATCCATTTCCATCTATTTCTGCAAATAGACCCTTTCCTGCTGGACACATGTACTTTTCCTTTCCAGGCCCTGATAGTTTTATGGCTTAGTGTACTGACTTATGGTTGACAGAAGAAAGGGCCAGTGACCACAACGTAAACCAGTAATTGGTTCACCTTGAAAACTGATATGGACACGTTGACCCCCTGCCAGTCTGGCAGCCAAGAAACTTCTCTCCATCCTGTGTGTTTGCTCGATGCCATGCTCGGGCTCCCGCGGTCAGAAAAATAAACATTAAACGCAAAGAAAACCCTCTTTTTTYCCCCCCAATTTTTCCTGGCTCACAACTTGGTCGCACGGCATGCAGCCCACAAGCTAACCAGCAAATAAACAGAGGGCAAGAGGCTGGTCTTAGGTCTGACTGTAACACCTTGAAGAAAAGACAGGTAGACCAGACCGAGGGTTTAACACATGTCCATCACAGGCCCACGTGGAGACAACYAGACATTCACACACTCTCTCACACCCAGAAACAATTTAGAGTTACCAGTGAACCTAACRTCCATGGTTTTGGTCYGCGGGAGGAAACCGGAGTGAAACACGCAAACTCCACACAGAAAGGCTGGGAAACTAACCTGTGGCTTTCTTGCTGAGAGACGATGGCATTATCCACTGCTTCACCATGATATTCCTGTTCATTTTTTCAAACCCAGACGGTCAAGGAAGTTGGCTGCCCATCATGAGCCTAGTTCTGCTGGAGGTTTCTTCCTGTTAAAGGGGCCATATCATGTAAAATCAATTTTTTTGAGTTTTATATCATGTTATAACGTTATCCTCTCATCGAAAACATGCCTAAAGTCTTACTTTGACTCATTCATGCATGTTTGAGAAATCCTGTAGTGTCCTGAGGCAGCAGGCAGGGGAGCAAAAACAACCGGTTGGGACTAGAACCGSCTTTTTGAGACTAGCTCCGCCTCTGGGCTGTGTCTCCAAGCCGAGCTTCCTCATCATGGAGCACACCTCCCCACCCCCCACCTCACACACCCCACCCATGACTCCTGCAGGTTCTCGTCAGTAACAAAGCAAACAACGGGTGAAAGTGAAACTGAAACTGAAACTGTCTGCTGAGCTCCTAACACTACTTCTCACTCCGTGAAGCTCTTTTCAGATTCAAAATACCTTTGAGGAAATGTATTTTCAGATGCCAAGTAAACTGCATCACAGCGTGTGCCCTTGAGCCTGGTTTATAGTTGACACGTTGAACACGGCGCGAGGGTGCGTGCGCCAAAAGTGACCGAATTGCACCGTCTGGCGCGTAGTTGTGCACCTCCGAATTCTTGTACCTCCTCAAAGACTGTGTGCACTGTGCACTATTCAAAYGGCTTGTTTGTTCATCAAGTTTTTGCTCTTCTATTTACAATATTTCATAAGTTATAAAGTGTTCTGTCACATGTCCTTTTGGAGAAAACTACAAYAACGTAAACACCAAGTTTAAACGCCTACACCGCCGGTGAGTGTGTGTGCCCTACACGAGTACCCACAGCACAACTATAACCAAGAATGATGGTTCTGCAGCGCCCTGAGACAACATTTGTAGTAACTTGGCACTATATAAATAAATTGAAATTGAACATAAGTCAAATATTAATTTGTCCTTATTTTCATGTTCTTCTTGAATACTTRTCTAACATTTATAAAATGTTTTTAGTTGGTAAAGGTTTTGGTTATGAGGGAGGAGATGTACAGTACTGACAAGTTTAGATTTGTAGGGTGATGTTCTGAGAACAAATGTTTTTTTTTCTTTTAATATAACACAAGGCTCCCATGAAGTTTATACTATTTCCACTAAATATTTCCTTTTGAGGTGTCATAACTGAAATGAGGTTCAGTGGAAGGACTGTGAACAATTACTATGTTACCTGTTGAAAATAGCATCAGACAAAAAAGCTGTTGCCATAAAATGAGAGCAATTTTAAAAACTTGCTAATGTGAAAGCTATTCTAAAAACATTTTTGTCTTTTCTTTTTAGATAGCTATTTTATGGCATAATAGAAGGAACAGCAAAAAGAAGTGCCTTAGATTGCACCACAAGTGCTACACCTAGATGCTCCCACAAAGAAATGACCATACAAATAAATATAAACAACTATGTAATTTAAATCTGGCAATGATGTAAAGTGCCCCCAAATTTTTTTGAAATTAGAGTTGTTTTGAGTCAATTTTTGCCCAATTCTGAATAACTGGTTCGTTTAAAGTGCTATCTACAACAGGTAAGACAATAATTGCTYGTAATCCTTCCACAGAACCTCACTTTAAAAATCTTAACAATCACCTTAAGGAGCCTTTAGAAACTGCCTGAGAACCTGTTTCAGAGAATAAAACGTCTGCAGAATCTGACACCAGCGAGATCTAAAGTGGAAACAGTTCATATAAAAGCAGCAACATCCGATGACAGAATTCACACGCAGGTTTGATGTGTTTGCYTTTGTGTTTCCAGGTATTTTGGAGATCAAATCAGTGGATGTGGGAGTGGTGGCCATCAGGGGCCTCGTCAGCAATCACTACCTGGCGATCAAGAAGAACGGTGTTGTGTACGGAGCGGTGAGTTATACCTTTATTGCAGCTTAACATTGACCTGCTAACGTGAGCCTCTTTATATTCATTGAAACACATTTGCAGAGAGTTAAATATAACTGACGGCTCTGTCAAAAAAAATAAGTGGCTCAAAGTTTGAAGAAAAGACTCACTATTCCAGAAACTGAAACCACAGTTTGTCATCTTTCCTACCTAGCTCTTCTTTCTCCGCTCCATTCAGAAAACAGGGGAAACACAATCCTTCAGATTTTCTATTCTGCTTCGCTCCCTCCAGGGAGAGCAGCATTTGTTTTGTCTGTTTTCTCTCTCCGTTTCRGGCCTTTTCTTCGTCTCATTCTCACATCCCTTTTTTCCTTCTTTCCTTCCTTTGAAAGACCGATGTCTCTCTGGAGCCACACAACAGATGAAATGACACACAGTTAGAGAAGAAAGATAAAAAAAGGAGGCATTTTGTTGCAGGGCCTGAAACTGAATTCCCATGACGTCTTCCGCCCCGGTGCAACACAAGCCGTAGTGGCACTGGTCGGTGAAGGGCCGCAGCGTTTGGTTACACTTGATGGCTTTACACAGTGACTTCTTTATCCAGTGGTAATCAATTGAAATCATTGTTTCATTACATTTCCAGATTGTCACAAAGGCTTATGATTACCATTGTTTTTGCAGTGAATGTTACCAACATTCATCGGAACAGCCACATGAAGGATATAGATGTTATTTGGACAGCTTTTATCATTTAGAGGGAAGATTTTCAAACCTTTTTCAATCAATTCAACCCACTGTCTTCACTTAGCACAATCGTGCTGGCATCATTATTTTTCATTAACATAATTTCACTGTAATTGAAGGGCAGCCTTCTCTCTCTCTCTCTCTCTCTCTCTCTCACACACACACACACACACACACACACACACACACACA